CGATTTCTATGTCCACGAAACTCGCATAGCTGGTAGAATTAGTTTTTTCTTATAGCAAATTTTCCCGGTTTTTTGAATATATATGCTTATTGCGTTGAAAACTTCTGGCACTTGGTCGGAAAAGTTAAAATCGGCACATTTGGACCGGCGCGCGCTTGTTCGAATAGTAGTTCCCTAGTCTTTTCGGTCGCCGACTACTGTGTGCCCAAATTTCACATAGCTCCAACAGTTAATTACATCTAATAGAAAATTTTCCCGGCTTTCTGAATATATAGGTTTATTGCGACGCAAATTTTTGGCACATTGTCGTAAAAATGAAAAAAGGCGCATTAAAACTGGCGCGCACTTTTTCGAATAGTAGTTACCTGGCCTTTTCGGTCGCCGACTACTATGTGCCCAAATGTCACATAGCTCCAACAGTTAATTTCATCTAATAGAGAATTTTCTTGTTTTTCCGAATATGTAGGTTTATCGCGTCACGAACTTCCGGCACATGGTCGTAAAAGTTAAAATCGGCACATTTGGACTAGCGCGCGCTTGTTCGAATAGTAGTTTCCTAGTCTTTTCGGTCGCCGACTACTATGTGCCCAAATGTCCCACAGCTCCAAAAATTAGTTTCATCTAATAGAGAATTTTCCCTTCTTTCTGAATATATAGGATTATTGCGGCACGACCTTCCGGGACATGGTCGTAAAATTTAAAATCGGCACATTTGGACTTGCGCGCGCTTGTTCGAATAGTAGTTACCTGGCCTTTTCGGTCCCCGATAAATATGTGCTCGAATGTCCCATAGCTTATAGAATTAGTTTCATGTTATAGAGAATTTTCCCGGCTTTCCGAATATTAAGGTTTATTGCGTCGCAAACTTATAGCACTTGGTCGGAAAAGTTAAAATCGGCACATTTTAACCGGCGCGCGATTGTTCGAATAGTAGTTTCCTAGTCTTTTCGGTCGCCGACTACTATGTGCCCAAATATCCCACAGCTCCAACAATTAGTTTCATCTAATAGATAATTTTCCCGGCTTTCCGAATATGTAGGTCTCATGTTGTGCGAACTGCCGACACATGGTCGGAAAAGTTAAAACGGCGCATTAATACTGGCAGGCCCTTGTTCGAATAGTTTTTACCTGGTCTTTTCGGTCGCCGACTACTATGTGCTCAAATGTCCTATAGCTAATAGAATTAGTTTCATCTTATAGAAAATTTTCCTGGCTTTCCGAATATATAGGTTTATTGCGTCGCAAGCTTATGGCACATTGTTGTAAAAATGAAAAATGGCTCATTTGGAGTGGCGCGTAGCAGTACGAAATAATAGTCCCATGGGCTCTTCGGACGCCGATTTCTATGTCCACGAAACTCGCATAGCTGGTAGAATTAGTTTTTTCTTATAGCAAATTTTACTGGATTTTTGAATATAATATATGCTTATTGCGTTGAAAACTTCTGGCACTTGGTCGGAAATGTTAAAATCGGCACATTTGGACTGGCGCGCGCTTGTTCGAATAGTAGTTACCTGGCCTTTTCGGTCGCCGACTACTATGTGCCCAAATGTCACATAGCTCCAACAGTTAATTTCATCTAATAGAGAATTTTCTTGGTTTTCCGAATATGTAGGTTTATCGCGTCACGAACTTCCGGCACATGGTCGGAAAAGTTAAAATCGGCACATTTGTACTTGCACGCAGCAGTACGAAATAATAGTCCCCTGGGCCATTCTTACCGTGATTTCTATGTCCACGAAACTCGCATAGCTGGTAGAATTAGTTTTTTCTTATAAAAAATTTTCCCGGCTTTCCGAATATATAGATTATTGCGGCACGAACTTCCGGATCATGGTTATAAAAGTTCAAATTGGCACATTTGGAGTGGCGCGCGCTTGTTCGAATGGTAGTTACAGGGTCTTTTCGGTCCCCGATAACTATGTGCTCAAATGTTCCATAGCTAATAGAATAGTTTCATGTTATAGAGAATTTTCCCGGCTTTCCGAATATCAAGGTTTATTGCGTCACGAACTTCCGGCACATGGTCGTAAAAAAGAAAAACGGCGCATTTTAACTGGTGCGCGCTTGTTCGAATGGTAGTTACCTGGTCTTTTCGGTCCCCGATAACTATGTGCCCAAATGTCACATAGCTCCAACAGTTAATTTCTTCTAATAGAGAATTTTCTTGGTTTTCCGAATATGTAGGTTTATCGCGTCAAGAACTTCCGGCACATGGTCGGAAAAGTTAAAATCGGCACTTTTTTACTTGCACGCAGCAGTACAAAATAATAGTCCCCTGGGCTATTCTTACCGTGATTTCTATGTCCACGAAACTCGCATAGCTGGTAGAATTAGTTTTTTCTTATAGAAACTTTTCCCGGCTTTCTGAATATATAGGTTTATTGCGTCGCAAACTTATGGCACATTGTCGTAAAAATGAAAAACGGCGCAATCGGACTGGCGCGCACTTGTTCGAATAGTAGTTAGCTAGTCTTTTCTGTCGCCGACTACTATAAGCCCAAATGTCCAGTAACTAATAGAATTAGTTTCATCTTATAGAGAATTTTCCCGGCTTTCCGAATATATAGGATTGTTGTGCTCGTACGGGTTGTTCCGTTTGAACGTTGTTATTTCGGTAGTGTGAGGGTTCAATTTTTGGAGAGAGTACAACAAAACAGTTTTAAAGATATAAATACTAATATAATTTTATTGTGAGTCGAAATTTATAATTCACTGTAATATTTATAATTGACTGTCAGAACGACGTACAGGTTTTTAAAGAGCTAAGACGACTGACTCCACGGTTCCCTAGCGGCTGCCGTGTAGCTGCAATATTCCGGGAGTCGCCCACACATTAGGCGTTACCCGCAGACTACAATAATATACTCTTATATTCTAATACAAAGGGCTAATACTATATACTAATAGCTAATGCGTTCATAACACCCCCCGGGTTAGACGGAAGATCATGACCCTAGATTTACAAAATTATTTTGGGTGATGATTTTCCTTCCTTTAGAACTACTGTTTCTATGTTGTCTGGTTCAGTCAAACTCGGTTGGCTTACATTTTTTATTTTGCGTTTGTATACTATAATTATTATGATTAAGCTAAATATTATAATTAACAATATTATACAAGTACAACTAATCAAACCAATATTTGCTATTATTGGTTCGTTATTTGTATTGTTCTGGGTTACAACTTCATTTTCTTCATAATTTTCAAAAATAGACTCCGAAGGTAGTACATTTTTTACATAAGGGGTTCTATGGGTGTAGCGAGATATATTTATGTTTGGTATAATGTCCGAATCTATATCAGAATACATAGTTCTGAATGGTATCATATGATAACCTGCAGATGAGGCGGAACATTGTTCACTAAGAGATATAATTCCTGTACCATAAATTTGTTTAATAATTTGATTGTAATTTAAACAGGTAATAATTAAATTTTGTTGATTTACTGTGTATAACCATGAATTTGCGACATTAACTTATGGAAAATACCGTGTTTGATTGACGTGTATTTAAACTTACAAACATTTTCAATATTTGCTGATTTTGTGTTAATAATTAAATTGAGTTCGCAATCATCTGATGTTGTCACCCTCTGAGTTACAAGATTTTTACATACTTTAAAATGTTTTGTGTCGTAGCACATACTAAATTCGTTTTGATCTAAATTTACATATTACTCTTGATCGATAGTCAAAGCTAAATACTTAATTCTAGGTTTAATGAACATATAAATATTGTTTATTGCTGGGGCCCCTTTTAGACCAAAGCACATTCTCTTAAACTCATAATGACCTTCACTCGTACTGAAAGCTGTTTTTTCCATATCCCTTGGATGAATTCCAATTTGGTGATAACCGCTAGCTAAATCAAGACAGGAGAAGTATTTCGCTTTCCCTAGCTGATCCAAAATTGATGTTATGTCAGGCATCGGAAACGCGTCACCTACTGTGATATTATTCAACTTTCTGAAATCTACCACGACTCTGTATTTTTTACTTCCTGAAGCATCCATTTTCTTTGGGACAATAAGAAGTGGAGCGTTCCAAGGGCTCTCACTGGGGACTATTATTTCATTTTGTTCTAGTTGTTTGATTTGTTCATTTATTTCTTTCTTCTGTGCATATGGAAGACGATAAGGTTTCTGGTAAATTGGTTGAGTGCCACTTGGTATTTTTATTTCATGTTGTACCGCTTCTGTACAGTTGATCGTGTCTCCTTCTAAAAAGAATATGTCTGCATATTCACTGCATAGCTCTTGAATTGTTGTTTTTTCTTCATTATTCATATGGTCACATCTGAGTGAATCTTTTAAAATTTGGATACGATTTTCTGGATTGCTAAATTTTTCTACCGTACGCATATTGTTCATTGAGACTGTATCGAGTATTTCATGAGATAGATCCGTGAGTTTTGGTGTTAATATTTCTTGTGGTTCTTCTGTAGGGTTCATTACACTTATTAGAACTTGTTGATTTTTTATAATACTAAGTACATTTCCACATCATATATTTTTGTTTAATTCTTGAGCGTGGATAAGTACATTGTGACTTGATGACTCATTAGTGTTAACATGTACTGGGATTATAAGTTCACTACGAGCTGGTATGACGTTTGAGTTTTCATTCCTGGTAGACAATTCTTCCTTTCCTACGTCGATGATAATCCTATTGGCCTTTAGAAATGGGTTTCCCAATATTCCATCTCCCACTATAGGAAATGTTGAATCCACTACTTGAAACTCGGTTTCGTATGTTTCGTTATCTATTGATACTGTTAGTACTGTACTTCCTAGTGTACTTACTAATTTGTCATTTATGCCTTGCATATTGTAAATTTTTTTGTCTGACACCTGGACATCGTCCTGAAGTGTATTTAATTTAATAAGGTTTAGTTCTGCACCCGTGTCTAAAAGTAAATTAATTTTGTGATTTATACATTGTGGTATTTCGCATATGGCATGATTATTTTTTAGCTTCACTTTAAAACTTAAGACATTTAATTTTGGGTGATCATTTTCAATTCGCGAACCAGACGGACACCCGCTTTGCCTGGTTCCTTGCCGTTTCCCGACGTTGATGGTTGATTATTATTATTCTGGTTTCCTTTGCGTTCATCTGCATTTTTCTTCTTATAACATACATCTATAGTATGACCAGTTTTCTTGCAATAAATACACGATACTTGTTTAGTCTCCTGATTTCCTTGATTATTGAATCCTTTGGATTGTTTACTTTGCTGTCCCGTATCGACATTGTTGTTTCCAAATCTACACTCATGTGTATTATGGTTTGTTTTTCGGCAATATTTGCAATATTTACTAATATTCATATTATTTGGTTTGTTATTCAACAAACGTTGTGTTCCTTTATTTGATTGATAAATCTTCTCTTCTTCTAAACTATCCTTTATGGCTTCTTCTAACGTTGGGTGATTCTTGGATTTGACTACACCCCGAATAGTAGATGGTAAACCTTCAATATATGTAGTTAAAGTTGTTTCTTTTATGTAATTATGTATAGCTTTAGCGTCACCAGCTGATTTATCCTTTGTGCTTACGTTACAAAGTTCATGCAATAGTTTTTCTACTCTCGTTGCATAATCTCGTACCGTTTCACCTTGTTGGAATTTAGTAGTAGTGAGCTCTAACTGAAGATATCCGGGTGTGCGAGTAGCACAGAAAGTGCCTTCTAAATTATCCCTAAGTATTTCCCATGTAGAAATTTCTTTATGTTGGGTTATCGCGAACGCCTTGCCTGACAACTTAGTAATTATAACTTGTAAGAGTACCGGTTTTATGGTTTCATCAACATTTCGCATGACAAAATTGCATGCGTTTATAAATGGATATACCTCCTGTACATTCTCCCCATTGAAATGTGGAATTAATCTTATTGCTGTCTCTAAGGATAATGTGGTCGAAGTAGGTAGTGCCATTGTGTTATTAGATTCTATAGTTTGAATATTATCTTTTGTACCTACTAGCAATTTTGAATTAAAATTTTTATTTGTTATTTTCGATTGTCTACAATCTTGTATTACGTTTTCTTTTTGACGGTTATTCAGTAATCTAGTAACAGGCCTAGACAATCCTAACAGACTTATGTCAATCGGACGCGATGGTACGTAGTTTTCGTCTAAATCAGAACTCTCGGAACTACTGTTACTATTACTAGACCTATCTGACATGCATTAAATTGTATACGTAAAAATAAAAATAAAAAAAAATTAATTAAATTAATATGGCTAGATTATTATAATTTGTAGTATCACCACTCCCTATAGTTAATACCACTATTGATATAGAAATAATAATAATCATACAAATACTAATAGTAATAATGACAACGACTTATAGTCGTACCAGTCGACAATAATACGTTAAAAAAAAATAAATATATATGTATAATAATATTTTAATAATTAGCTTACAATATTACCCATGAATGCATCGCATTCAGTTGTATTGTGCCCAAGTGATTGTGTGTCCCACGACGCGTTGGCGTTGACGTAACAGCTTATCGCGACAAGAGCGGCTGCAGCAACACAGCGGCGGTGGTGACTCCACGACGGCGACGGTGACGACGGCTACGGCGGCGGCACCGTGGCTATAATGGTGTTGTGAAGAGTAGATCACGACGTTGAATACAATGCGTGTCCACTATAGACGGTGCGCTTGTTGTTGACAACTGGAACGCCATATAACCACAGAATAGATTAAATCTTACATATCACTACCGACATAGGTATACATATTATAACTGAAAAACACAAGCGTTTCCGGTCGCCGTCACCACCAACGAAACCCCATTCGACTCGAGCAAAACGTATATTATATGAAAACGCATGGAACTTACATATCACTCAAGTGACCGACACATATTATATTTTATCAGCGCATACTTACAACAGTCATATCACTTGTATAATATTTGCATTTTACCGTGTGTATACATACACACACACACACACACGCACACAGGCATATCGCCTCCGCTATATATCATTGTATAAGTTATAATATCGGAAAATTAAGAACTATTAACAATATCTCTCATTTCAGTAGATAGGTACTTTATGCGGTTTATTACAAAAATCTCGAAATAGGTACCTACACAATAATTATAGTTACATCTGTAGTTATATAGTAACATCTTTATCAATAAAACATTTATAAATCTTCATGTTATTAGTCATTTTCCATACAGACTCATGCTACAATGAGCATATAGGTGGGAACGTACATACATTCTTATATCTATGTATATATATATATATATACACAATACTTTTAGGCCAACCTATCGTGAATAATATTACAGATACTTACTTATATTTTTAATCAATCATATATACATTGAAATATTGTATGAGATTACATTAGACTAAAATCATAGCTTATAATATATACATACATGGATTTAAGAGAAAAAATAAATCTCTTACTGTTATTATTGTACTATTATTCGTCAAGTGCAGTGAGAATTATATAAAAATATAATTACTTATTACTAATACTTATTTTACAATAAGTAAAAAATATTATAATCGAGCCACCACCTATTTCTACAGTTACATGAACATGTGAAACATAGTACGATATGCAAACCCACATTAAATCATATACCGATATGTATATTTGACATTACAAACACCTAAACATATTATATGGATTACATAAATATATATATAAGCATATAAACATTCAAATATACACCTCAATAAGTCGCCTACATATAGGCATACACATATTTACATACACACATACTTATAGTATATAATCTTACATATTCTTATATAATTAAATAGTATTCATACATAGGTACATACGTACATAGATATATATTTAATTAAAAAGCATTCATGCATACATATAGAGTATAGACTCGATCTATTATTCCAAATAATAATTTACATAAAATATTTTCGATATATAATTTATTTGATACCTAATTTATTAAACATATATTAATTATTATATATTAACAGTTGATACATAAAATATATCACAACGTAGACATGCATACTGATACAACGCTATCCAATATACAGCAATTAAATGCAATATAGGACCTACTCAGTACTGATATATAATTTACTCATTTTTTCGTTAAATACGTAGGTAGAATTTATGCTGAACTCTAAAAATTTACTCATCAATGTGAATATACGTTAAAATGTACTAATTTCGATAAAAACATAGCTGTCTGTGTGTAAATACAAAAATCTTGCTAAAATAAGTAAAAATATCATAATTTTAATAAAGCATATGGAAACATTACAATATTTTAGTGAAAAATAGAGGAAAATATCATAATTTCATTAAAATCATGTAATATTATAAAAAATATCATATCCCTACCTAATTACCATCAAAGGCATATATACAGTTTAGTTATTAAGTGTATCTAAATGCATGAACACCATTATAACGAGTCTAAACGACCGATACATATCGTTGCACTTGATAATATAATTATAAGTTCATATAATATTATTGATATAATATTATATGAACTTTTTTGATTGCTTCATTTTCAGTAGATAAACCCATGTACTATTTACACATATTTATCACACAATTCTAATGCAGCTTAAAGTCTAGAATATCATATTAAGAATTCTTAAAAGCATTACATGAAAAACCGTATTTATTTCAAAGATGAAACAAATTCATATTTAAATTCCATGGTATTAATAATAAAAAGCATACTATTATATAGTTGTCTTCATCACATATTAGCAAAAACAAAATAAAATGTAGGTACGTTAAGCGGTGATAATTTTCCACTTAATGATTTCATATATAGAAAACCATATATATTTAAATTACTTTTAATGCATATCTTATACACATAGCCCAGCATTTATTTTGTACAACATTATAGAAATGTATTATTTGTACAGTTATATACTACATGGATGCTTATTACATATACTTTTCATGTATTATTCCATATACTTTGTAAAATAATGATGAAATCACTTGTATATTGCCATCACAAGCTTGGGAATATATTTGAAAAAATCATGATTTTTCAGGAAAATCGGTAAAAATATGCTAATTTCCCCCAAATTATGATAATATTATAATTTTGATAAAATCTTATACAAATATAATTTCTATGTCAAGATCATGTCTAAAATATTGAAATTCTTAATAATAACATATAACTATAGTTTGTAAATCAATCCATCAATCATATCACGTTAGATATTAAATGCAACTATACACTATAACAGAAATATTTCAGTTCTAAATAGTCGACTAATAAAAAAAAAAAAAAAATATGAAAGGTATGATATATCATGACTACATCTTCAGACGGTGAAGATGAAGTAACCTTTCATATTTTTTTTTTTTTTATTAAATTGTTTTTTTTTTCAGTCTAACATACAGGAAACTAACCTCACCTAACCTACACGAAACTAACCTAGTGTTTCTTTTTGTTAATATTTCGAATTTTGTTAGCTATGTATTAAAATAACATAGGGAACTGTACATAGCGAATATATTATGTATAACAGTTTATGATAATAATGATAATGATTAGGTACATGTGTTTTATTGAAATTACAACATTTGTAAATAAATTATATTTGAATAAATGCATAATATAGATACATCTAATATGATTTTTATTTGAAAATCTGGTAATTTTTAATATGAAGTTTGTATATATTTTCAGTGAAAATATGATTTTGTTATATAAATTCGTGTATCAATTATTTAGATTAAAGTTGAATACAAAAAGAAAAAAAAAACGTATATTTATATCGGTTATGTAGACTGTTGACATTATACATTTTTGTGAGATTTTTAATATTTACGTATCCGTCTCATTAAGATATATTTTTTTTTTGTTTATCAAGATCTGTGTGGTATCCATATACGTTGAGGTATACATATGTTTATATTTGCGAACAATGTGTTTATATTTACGATCAATAGGCTGATATTTACGATCAAAATGGTAATATTTATGGCAACTATAGAAATATAATATTTATCACATGGATACATCTAATAGGATTTTTATTTGAAAATCTGCTGATTTTAATATTAATTTGAAAAATAATAACTTTTAGCAAAGGTATCTATGAATGTACCAATATGAAAATGAAGCTTGTATATTTTCAGTGAAAATATGATATTATTATACAAATAAAATTTGTGTATTAATTATTTAGATTAAAGTCGAAACAGTAAAACTTATATTTATATATGTTTTGTAGACTGTTGAAATTATAAATTTTTATGAGATTTTAAATAGGTATTTACTTTTTGTCTCATATTTTTATCAAGACCTGTATAGTACCCATATGTGTCGAGAAACAAATATGTTTATATTTACGATTAATATGCTGATATTTACGATCGAAATGATTATATTTATGACAACTAAAAAATATAATATTTATCATAATATGGTTACATCTAATATGATTTTTATTTGAAACCTACTGATTTTTAATATGAATATGAAGTTTGTATATATTTGTATAGTTTTTCATTGAAAATATGATATTATTATACAAAACTGTACACCCTTCAATTAATATTTAATTAGAGTCAAGTCGAATACAATAAAAGCTAGATATATTATTTATATATCAGCATTGCAGACTGTTGAAATTATACATTTTTGTATAGGTTTTTAATATTTAAGTATCGTCTTATTAATATAGTTTTATTAAGATCTGTATAGTGTCTATATGTATTGGAGTGTAAATATGTTTATATTTACTATCATTATGTTGATATTTACGATCGAAATGGTGTTATTTACAACGAATATAGAAATGTAATAGTATGAATA